ATCTCCGTGGGTTCTTCTTGGGTTCCGCGGCAAATTTGACAAAGTCCATTTTCCCTCCTTTATTATTTAATGTTATTGACATTTAACAAATTATATGAATACAGGGAATAACACCAAACTCCACTATCAACCAAAGAAAATAAAATATCATGGAAAAATACAAGAAATAAAAGTAAAACAGTTTTTTGACATTTACCAAAAATCACTGCGTTTGGAGATTGCTGACTTTGCCACATGACGCCTCAATTATAAACAAAACACTCTATGTTATGTTTATAAGTGAACTATTCACACTGTTTTAGATTCTGAGTGAAACGATGAATGTATTGATTTTACAATGATGTGTGTTTTTTTTTTTAATTATTATTTTTATTTTTGTGTCTGTCATCACGTTTTAGAACAGTAAAAGTGCTTGGATTTTCTTCAACAGTAGCTTTTCTGATAGGAAAGTGAATCTAGTTGGTACTTTGGGGGGTCAAAAGTAAAAATCCTAGTAGTTTTCACAAGAGCCGGCAAAAACAACATAAAAATTAAGGAAAAACAGGAATTTTTACGACAAATCGGTTTTCCAAAAAATCGATTTTGGTTTTTGGGGTAACTCTAAAACAAATGAACGTATACCTATACATGAAATTTTCACTTGTTGTTTATATTTGCATTTTCTATACACGATAACATTTTCAAAATTTTTGATTTATTTTGAACTGTTTAGGGACATTTTAATTTTCCATTTGTTTTTAGTTTTTTTTTCTAAAAATATCAATACAATTTTATTTGTTGGTTGCGAAAGCTTGAAAGTTTAATAGAAGGCTCCTAGTATATTGTTTCAAAGGCAGATGAAAAATATTAAAAATCGTTAGTTACAGTTTTTTTTTAAGCATTTAAAGTTCAAAAAATGACAAAATATGGAAAAATCACGAAAATTTGCAAATTATTTCTAGTTAGAAATTCATAAAAATTTTTCTTTTTAAAACTAAGATTTGAAAATGTAATACAAGATTTCTTATAAGATTATCTACCTTTATCAAAAAAAAAATATCTATAAGAAAGTCAAATTAAATTTTTATGAGCGTTTGAAATTCAAATTTTTACAACATTGGATAATCACTCGATTTCTCATGTAGCGATTTCCTTATTTTGTTGTTATTCAAAAACGAATAACTGTAGATACATAAAATTTCACTGAATGTTTAAATTAGCATTTCCTATACACCATACAATTTTGAAAATATTTTGACTCTTTTTGAGCTATTTACGGACATTTACGGCTTTTAATTTTTTTTAGTTTTTTTTTCTATAAATATCAATAAAGTTTTATCTGTTGGGCCAAAGAGTGTAAAAATGTAATAAAAGGCTCCTGATATATTGTTACAATATCAGTTGAAAAATATTAAAAATACATAGGCACAGTTTTTTTTTATAAGCATTTAAAGTTGAAATTTTGACAAAATGTATCAAAATCTCGAAAATTATCAATCATTGTAATTAATAAATTTTAAAATGTTCAGTTTTTACAGCTAAGGATTGCAAATTCAACACAAAGGTTCTCATAAATAGTTCATACTATAACCAAAAAATCTAAAAAATATATGAACACAGTTATTTTTTACAGACATTTTAAATTCAAATTTGGACGAAATTACATAGGTAATAAAAAACCTAGAATAACTATTTTAGTTATTTTGTTGTGATTGTATAATATTATTCGTGGGTACTTGAAACTTCTAAAGTATACTACTATATATCTATGATAGTATCAAGGTTTGTTGTTGGTGTATAACGCGTCATAAGTACCTAATGGATATTGTGATATGATTAATTTGGAATTCATTATAGGTCATTTTTTTTTAATACCATAGATAAGTATATAATATGTCTTAAACCTAGACTGACATACCGTCTCCGCTCAGAATCGTTTTTCTTATACAATGATATTATATCGTTGAATTCAAATTTAATATCATCCATTATACAGTGACCCACTTGTAACCTACTGTACAGCAGAGCGACACCCACTTGCCCACCTTTTTTTTTTTTTTTTACATGAAATTTACAATCTGTTCTTAACTAGAACAATAAGCAAATGTGCATAGGGTATTTGCGTATGAATTTTTTGAGGGAAGAAACCATCCATTGGTGATACTACCTATTTTGTGTTCTTAAGTTTTAAGTTAAGCTAATTTTAATTTTTAGACAGAAGGTCTCGACACCATCTTCGCTTAAGCCATCTAGGCGGAGTACCTGGAATGGACAAGGTAGATAGTTTTTTTATTAGAGGATTAGGATGAAGAGGTAGATTGGTGGGTATTCACACTGTAGTACAGCAGAGTGCAGACACTGACTGGCTATATATTTTTGATAGTGGGTAACCTATACATTGGTACATTAAAATAAGAGCTCATAGGTACCACTTACCTATATTGGCTATATTCATACATAGTAGTGAATCTAGGATTTTTTAATGGGGATGCTAATTTTAAGGTTTGTATTCTGTATACTCCATAGTAGTCCATACTGATGGCAAGACTTTTTTTAGTCCTCAAAATGAATGTTCTTAATTTTAATTTTTTTTTCAAACATATACAAATGGGTACGTATTTAAGCGAGTTAAGAACGTGGGTAAAATCAGTGGTAGGTATATTTATTTTTACCTGACACACTTTTTTCAATTTGTTTGGTTTAACGTATTTAGTTAAGTAAGTTGGAAACGATGGTGAAGTAAAAATTTGGCCGTCGGACTTAATTCTGAAAATTTAGTTATTTGAGGTCCAAGGTGTTCAAGGCCCTTCCAAAGTGGTTTTACATAACAAGTCGAGGGATGTTTATGATTTAAATTATCCGAGAGAGCGCAACAAGCAAGTGATTATCATTTTTTTTTAAAGTGTCGAATTTTAATGAACAATATTTTTTTTGGGGGATGGAGTGGCCGAGCGGACTAAGGCGTCGGCTGCGACGCAGCCGACCCGAGTTCGATTCCTTGGCCACGGGTGGCATTTTTCTTCGGACGTCACGGTGTCCGGAGAAAAATTTCCGCCATCCCGCACCCGGGCATGTCAGATACCTACAGGTGCCCAATCAAAAATTCTGTCAAACACAACACTGAACACACACGTATAAAAACCCTACCATCACAAACCCTACTATCTACAATCAGCTAATGGCCATCGTCGCCGGGCTTTAAAGATCAATTAAAAAAAAATATATATTTTTGTTACGTAGGTACCTACTACCTACCTATAATACAATTATTAAAAGTTGGTTTTAAAATGATCCTAAGTTCTAAACATTTTTAATATTTTATTGAATACGCTTATTATGACTGATAACAGATGACACAATACCCAAGGTAAACTAACCTAACCATATCTACTTTTCTGAAGTTGTTATATTAATAACATAAAAGTTATAACATCAACAGTATGACATCTAAAATTATGAAATTGTTGAACCAATTATTAAAGAATGTATTTATTGATTATTTCATTTACATATTTATTAATAATTTTGAGTATACATTTGTGCGTTTTAATCTAGGTAGGTAGGTACTAAAAAATAGTAGGCACTTGTAAAGTATTTTGAATACTTTTAAAATGTATTTGTATATTTTATATTTAAATACAAATGAAACCAAGTATTTAAATTTTAAATAATAAATACGTATTCTGAATACATTTGAAAAATATTCTTAACAAGACTGTATATAATTAAAATGAGATGCTATTTATTGACATTATATTAGGCCTTATACTAGGCTAATTTTAGCTGTTGAATGGTTTCCCACTATACCCACTATTCACTAACAACCATAAAGCTATTAGGATATCTGTATCATTATTCATTATCTATCTATAGGTACTATATTTACCACTTATTAAGTTCTTGGCATATTATAAGGTATTAAGGTCAAAGTATACCTAAGTATAAGTATTAAGGTCTATGGTTCTTATTAAATTGTAAAAAAATGCTAAATTTAATATAAAAAAAAATTGGGTGGTACATTTTTAATGTTCAAGGTTTTGACGGAAATAATTTTTGTGTTCAAGATTTTGAAATTCAAGGTTGTAACGTTCAAGGTTTTGAATGTTCAAGATATTGACATAAATTTATGTTCAAGATTTTACCGTTCAATATATTAACGTTCAAGATTTTGACGTTCAACTATTTGACATTCAACGGTATAAATGGCATCCGTCTAATTTTGAATAATAAAATATGTGATTATATAAATATTTTTTACTAGCTAATGACCTTTTTTTTTTTTGGCAACCCTTTAAGTGGCCCGCAGGATTATAATGTATTTACAAAGTGGCCCGCAAGATCATTTGGATTGGCCATCCCTGGTCTAGAAGTCCTTACATGGGACGCCATTCAAAATTAGACCACATATAAAATTATAAAAGTATTTTGTCCCAATACAAAAAAAAAGGAGTAATTATTATAAACAAAATCAATTATTATTATAAAATAAGTTTTAGTGTATTAATTATTTTTTTTTGTAAATATTTGATAAATGTCGCAGGCCACAAAACTTTCCAAGGAGGTTCCAAGGAGGGTTGGCCATTTCTGCTTTAGACCTTAGAACTCTAACCTTACATTAATACATCAAATATCAGTTTTTCAAAACATTTCATAACATTTTTATTTTATTTATTATTAATAAAATTCTTTATTAGACCATCTGTTACAGAGCTGAACAAAAATCTTATTTTATAATACGAATAATTTTTTATTTAAAATTGAAAAATTAAGTTGCTGTAAGACTTATAATTATTGCAAAATTATTTTTATTTATTTTATAAATTAATTAACTGTACATTTTTAAACTATATTAATATGTACAGAAAAATACATTTACACTTGTTATAAAATATTAGAATGACGTAATAATATACGTATATTATATTAATTTATACTAAAATGTATCAATTATTGACATGGATATGAAAAAAATATTTAATATAACATTAAGAAAAATATCACATAGCACTAAAACAATTGCTTTATCGATATGGATGAGGTGCTCCAGCAGCCTTTACATTACTCTTCATTCCAGGAGGTGGTTTGGGCATCATACCCATTGGTGGTGTATTTGGCCCCATGCTAGGAGTAACTGGTCTACCAGTAGGGGGCACCATCATACCACCAGGAGATACTTGTGGAACCATCGGTTTCAAATTTTTACCCATACTTACAGCGGACACAAGTGTATGCAAGTCTGCAACTGATGAGGTTTGGCCGATACCAACACGAGCTCCAGTTTCCACTTCCCATTCTTCTCTGGCTTTAGAAACAAGGTCCAGCACATGATTAACTACCTTGTTGAACGCTGCCAGCTGTTTTTGTGCTGTTTCAAATTGTAAACCACCAGCCTTGTGTTCAACCTGCAGAATCAATTATACATATTATAATGTTAGCAATTTTAATCACATTAATTGAACATAATGAGGGGAGAATATAAATAATACATTTCAATGACCTGCATGAGTTTGTGTTCCACTTCTGGTTCGGTTTTGGTACGCAAGAAATCGGGTACAATATCGTGGGACAGGGCTGGTACTCGATTTTCAGTGATGCGAGCGAGATCTTCATCGCGCTCTGGGTTCAACATAAGTGGCAGAACACTGTAGTTACGCAACTGTGGAAGTTTCTCGTAAGAAAGATACTTCATGATGGCAGTGTACTGTGTTGAGAACACAGCAAAAGTATCAAGTACTGTCGTCCAATTGACATTGTCTCGTTCGTGTTCTAACTTGAATATAAGAGCGTATATCTGAGCTTTGAACTCGTTCAACTTACTCTGGAAGTTTTCAAGCACCAGTTCCAATTGTTTGTCTTCGCGCTGCATTTTTGGATTTTTTGAAGTAGGATAATTGTAATAACAATTTTTTTCTAAAAACAGTAAAACCAATTATAATATCATTAATACAGTTCCACTATACTGCAGTTCATAGTTTCACATTTTAAGCCTACAATATATTATGTGTATAAACATTTTAAGTTTTTGTTTAAATTTTATAAAACATCTAAAAATGTCTATTGCTTTGAATGTGAGAATAGCCTCACACATTGATAGGCGTGTCCTAAAATAATTAATAAATATATGAACCAAAGATTGGTAAAAAATATACAACTTTTGAAATGTGTTTTGTATCAATACGAGTTACGATCACGAAATAATATTGAGTTGGTTATTATATAATTTAATTAAAATATTATTGAATTCAATATAGATGTATTTTCTTACTTATTTTTGTTGTAATGTAGGTAGTTTACTTTACTGTAACAGTGATGGTATCCATGAACATAATATCATTTAGATCTAATATTCTAGTAAATCCGGTTCCAGGTTCGTGGCTAAATAATAAAGTAATAAATATTAGAAAATAGAAATTAGAATTTATATTTTATAACACATTAATACGGACTAAGATATCTTATAATATTATATCAGTCACACTATCAGCTCTGTAATCTGTATTCTGTTTTTGTTGTTCTAAATTAGTAATTATTCTATGATACGACAATACAGGTACGTTTCGCCACGTTTCGCTGCTGTTCCTTGTACCATAGAATATTGTACATTTTGTTAACACTGATAGATCATTAGCTCAAATTATCGGACAGAACTGCGATTCACAATATTATTGTAGGTCTATGTTTACTTTTATAGCTATAATTATTATCTTAAATAGTGGCAGAACTGTAGAGTGAGGATGTAAATTTTTATGAGTGTCGAGCACTTAGATCATAATATACAAATATATCTATATTATATATGATCTAAGGTCGAGCACTAGTTTATACTTTATTAGCCCTTATTACCTATTGTTAAATTATGTCTTTAGTCTTTACCACGGACTAAGATATACAGGACTGGAAACGAGATAGTCATCTATGGAACTACAGTGTAACGCTTCTGGTACAAGTGCGATTTTAACGCCATCTATGATCCATTCTACGAAATATTAATACATCAGTGTCCAGTGATCACCATTATTCGTTACAGTATAAAAAATAAATATATCCTTGTAACTTGTAAGTTTTTATTAATTCTTTAATAATCTTTGCTTATATATCTAACTGAAATAAATTTGTTGTTTAAAGTACATAGTAATATAGTATACACTGTATTGATTCGATTTTAAATGATTGTTGAAAAAAATATACATTAATACATAGAATATAAGCTGAATACCTAATTATATTTTAAAGCAAAATCAATTAGGTAGGTATAGGTAAAGGTGATGTTATATTTTGTAAATGTACCCGTTTTTTCCACGATTTTGGAAATAGTACGTTATGTATTCAATTTAATTATATTCCCTATCTTCATACTAGGGAAATAGTACATATGAGCCTACTTTGGAAATTGTACGTTTTGTACAATTCGAGTAATTGGTACGTATTTGTCAATAAACAAACTATTTAACATGGACAATACTACGTTTTGACGTAATTTTGGAAATAGTGCATTTAGACAAATTTTGGCTTTGGAAATAGTGCGTTTTGCGTCATTTATGAGTTTCAGATTGATTTTAACAAGGGAAATAGTACGTTTTGTCACAATTTGATTGCACTATTCGATTCCCTGCCTTAATTTCTATAAGAATCATTATGTAACTCAATTTCTTCAATTTTGGCAATAGTACGTTTTGGATTGTCGCCCCACATTATAAAACAAAAATAATATGCAAATAAATATATGTGTAACAAATGCTAAATATTATCAATAGATAGAGCCACATTTGTCCATGTACTACAAGCGTTACACTATGGTTCCGGCCACGATTAAAGATAGTACTATCTTTAATCGTGGTTCCGGCTATCCGCACTCCTCCCGTCTATCGTTTCCAGTCCTGTTTATCTTAGTCCGTGGTCTTTACTATTTATGCCGGAGCCATATGCTAATAATAATAATAAGGTCGAGCACGATAACTATCTTTAATCGTGGTGTCGAGTGTCCATACCACAGCTGATATAATATATAATATATTATTATATATAACCAAATATAACTGTGGTCGATACACCCTAATTTCATCATTGAAAAGCTTGTTAAAATCATAGTTAAAATATATTTTTGGTTTTTATAGGTTTAACAAATTTAAATAGTACTTATAACTTATACCGTAGAACAATAAACGAACTGTTCTATAATTCAATTACCAGTTCATATTGTTCTATGATAATAATAAGTGTTGGTTCAAAATTAAAAAAAAAACAAAACAATATCACTGATAACTGATAAGCTATCAGTTTATTTCATTTTTTCAATGAATAATTTATCACAGAATAAACATATTATTATTCTGTGTTATTATCTTGTTGTATTTGAATATTGAATACTGAATGGTGAGTAGACTACAACTGAATTATAGTGAATGCAGTCATACAGATTATAGAAAATCAGTATAGATAATAGATAGAGAGATGCTTGACAGACACGTAGAAAATGAATTTTGAATTGGATTAGTCAGTAGTCCTGCTATATTCCATTATAGTTTAAATACAATGTTTAGAATCGAATCATATATTACATCGATTATACTAAGTTATGTTGAAAAATACGTAAAAAACTTAAGGCGTCAAGATGCTCAAGTAATAATATTACTTATAATAAAATATTAATAATAACTTAATATTTTAAGATCGATTGGTCTAATGATTAATATAATTTTTAGGTATCACTATGGGATGGAGAGGGCTTATTTCAAAACTTGGAATTAGACTTAGATGTTTTGGAGAAAGAGTTAAATTTACCGTTTATTGTAATAAGTGGTCATATAAATCAACTGTTAATTAGAGTTCCATGGACAAAACTAGGATCAGAAGCGGTTAAAATTACTATTGACACAATAGGTAAATCTTTGTTGTTTGATTGTTACATTTTAAATATACTTAACTACATTCTTATGAATTTTTTAGAATGTGTTTTAAAATTAAAGACTCCTCAACAAAGGAAAGCTAAAAAGAATGATACAAGGCAAGTTGGTTTTAATTTTTTTGTAGGTAGTAATTATTGATTTGCCATTTGTTATTAATGCTATAATTAATAGAATTTGGACCAATGGTAGTTATACATATTTTGTATAAATATTAAGGTGAATGTTGACATTGACTGCTGTTTTTGGTGACTATCAACATTTTGAATGAATATTAAAAATATACCAAGAGTCACTGGTAAATGTCAACATTCACAACGAGTATCGAAGAGTGTTGACATTCATATTTTTAACTAAAATTGGAGTTACATTTATACTTATATTTACTTTATATATTCAAATTAACTTTTTTGGATATTTTGTATGATAATCATGAATCATGATTAATAGGTGTAACTGCAAGGGCGCTCATTAATCAGAACCTAGGGGGGTGACATTAACATATAACAATAATCAAGAATCAACAAAATTGATTTTATTAAATAACAAAATAAATACACAACATATATAAATGATTTACCTATGTAATATGTCATGTATTATAATATTATCAGTAAAAATAGTTTATAATTTACAATTACAAAAATGTATAATCATTTCACATATGTCTAGGAGGGTGACATGTCACCTCCTTGCACCCACTAATGGGCGCCCTTGGGTGTAAATAAATGTCTTTATTGAAAAATTAATACTAATAATTTATTATGATAATTATTAGTGGTCACTCGCTTGTCGGTGCAAGTGAAATTGCATAGACGTTCAAAAATTGGTGTGTGGTATATCATGTCATATTATATAAAGATTGTGAATATTTATAGATATGATAATATTCACAGCTGAAAGGCAAATTATGTTTGCTTAGAAAAGTATAATAATATTATAGTGTATTATTTAATCAACTCGTGTTTAATGATCTATATCAATGAATCCAGTCTAAAATCCTTTGTACTATTTCAAAAGCTCCATTCTATAAGTATAATCAAAACATATCTACAGTCACTAAATTAGTCAAACTACATTAAGCTACAAAGCTTTAATTAACGATTATATTGTCATCCCAATCCACTTATATCTCAACTTGCATCCATATCCATATCTGGTAACCCCCAAAAGATATTAAAAAGACAGTGGTGTCATGACCTACTCACATGAGTATATAATTAATTTTTTGTAAAAGAAAAAAAATGTAAACGCAAGTACATAAGTTAGCTATATTATAACTATATATTGACAAAGTACCTTTACTAGGAGGTTTCTTTACTCTGTGTTTTCTGTGTACTTAAAAAATATTATCATATAAGCTTATTATTTAACTTTTGTAACAGATTAAAAAAAATATATTTTGAATGTTATGTTTTTAACTTTTGCATTAAATTACTGTATTATAGGTATGTAAAATTAAATTAATTGTTACTCATTGTCAATTATTTTATAGCGATAGAGCAAGTACCGAGTATAATGAGTTACCACCTCCATCATATGTACAAAGTTTGATCAACAAAATTGTTGGAAATCTTTCAGTAACATGCAATAACGTCATTCTAAAATATATTGAAGATGATATAGTCCTGTCTATGAATATAAAGTCAATTACTCTAGATTCATGTAATTCAAACTGGATACCTGATATTATTGGTAAGTAAAACAATTAACAAGTATAATTACAGTTGTCTGTAATATAACTATTTATAAGTATATTTCATGTGACTTTCAGAGTTAACACCATCTCAATTAACATTAAGAAAAATTATTAATCTGTCGGATGTGACTATTTGCTTGGATAGAAGAAATGCTTCAGGATGCATAGAAACTTACTTAGAACCATTATTATACAAATGTTCATTATCCATACGATTATGTCGTATGTTTCGATCTCCTCATTCTGCCCGACCTTATACAACTC